CACAATGTGTCTGTAAACTATTGTTTCCCCCATTGGATATAAAGGCTGTAAGACTTTATTATGACGTGAAGGCACCTCATGCGTTGTATGGTTATTGTTGTGTGTCTGTACGTTTTCTGTCTTTTCCATTTTTCTCGCTGCCTTTCACTTTTCAAAGCTCCTGCACGCCTGCGTGTGGGGTGCTGTCCGTGCAGAGGAACGGAGAGAGAGACAAGTAAGGACAAAGAGACAGTAGTAAACAAAATAAAGAAGAATATACTTGGAGAACTTGGTGTGGTTGTCAGCTTCAAGCAAGCTACGCAAAACACTGAACTCTCAAACTGACTCCTTTTGACCTCAAGAATGTTGAACCCGGGATGACAAATTCTTTGCGCAACAACTGTCTCTACTCCTCCACTGGAGATTAAATGTGTTGGCTGTTCTTTAATTACTGTCAACTGTGTACATAGTCAACATTGACCATGAAGCTAAAACAGAGGGGGAAAGGAGCAAGTATTGGGAACAAAGATCTGAAAATAAATCATATATGAGTTTAGGATAATTCTTCAGAGGGCGTATAAGTGAGGTTAAGTGAGCCCTAAGGACCCATTGAAGGACATGGGAGTCCTGTATGAAATCAAACATGTATTTTATTTTATTTTCTATTCATATTTTGATTTATTACAGGGAAAATAAACAGTGATCAATGTGACTATGGATGTTAGTCTTAGCCAAAATATTAATTTCCAACTGTTGTCCCTTTTGCCAAATGTCTCATTATCCATTGAAATAACAATAAAGCAAAAATCATGTAAAATCACAACAGGAAAAGCAGGTTTATCTTCTTTTTTTTGCTGTCATGCTATGTGTTATTCCAAACACTATATGTAAAAGTCAATTTATTCCAACTAATCTAATACAATGACACAGCTGATCTGAAATGTACCACAGAGCTGATCAAATGTCTCTGACATAATAAACAGTCTGTGTAAGCTACAACATGCTTTGGTGATGGCAAACAATAGCCTTTGTTTGTAAAAAGACAGGCCTATCTATTAATAACAAAGACGAGCGGTAAAGTAACAGTTCACGCGACAATTAAAAAGACATGTTTTTTTTTCCCTTGCCTGTGGTGCTACTTGTGATATTTATTCTGGAAAGAGACATTGCTTTTGAGTGTATCAAGTGTATTTTTGAAGGCAGACATCTCTTCGTCCGATTTCTCCAAAACAATCACACCAAAACAAACTAAATTGAGAAATAGCTCTACAGGTAAGAGACAAAATGTACATTTTTGATTATGGTGTGAGCCGTCCCTTCTAGTCACTTTCCCCAGGACTACGCCTATTACATATAGTCAAACACATGTTGTAATTCATAATAATTCAACTGAGAAGTTGTGATTGCGGCATAACTTTTCAGCAGAATGAAATGACAGCCCAAGCCCCGAGCTTCCCACACAGGCCAGTGGGTGCAGGAGTGTTTCGTAAACACAGCAAGGTGTGGTTTCTATCCGAAAGCGGCCAGCTTCCGTCTATTCACAGCAGAGCACGATCTGCGCAACAGTCAGGAGACCGGGAGGGGAGAGGTGCCCGTTGTGTCCTCTGTCTGGAGCGGAACGAACTTCAGACTTTCGCAAAACGTTAAAAAACATGAGTATGTACGGCTCCAATTCGAGGCTGCCCACCATGGGCCAGAGAAGCAACTCGCGACCGGATTTGGCGAGTGCAAGTTTTAGAAACGACGTGTTCGTCGGTGGAAACGGCTTCCACGGAGACTACCAAGGAGGGGACGCCGTGCACTCCTACAGTTCCTTCTCCAAGACCTCCATGCAGGGAGGGGGCGCACCGAAAGTGACCATGAGCATGGGGGGCGCGAGTGGAGGTGGCGGATTTAGGTAAGGAATTACCTGTTGCTTCGAAATTCGTTTTACGGCACGCGAGTGTTTGAATTAGCCATTAAATGTTAATGTAAAAAATAAAGCATAGATATCATGTTGTTCTTTCAGACTAACAAAGCCATGAAACCTATTTGGGAATGTAAGAAAAATGCCAGCAAGGCCACTAGATACCACAGACAGGTTAATGAACGCTGGAGAGCTAATTGTACCTACAAGAACAAAGTATTCTGCTGTACTTCCGGTGAAACTGTTCTTTCACAAACAAACGCATCCCAGGGGTTGACCTCTTGGCTGAAAACTTCATTTTCTAATTTGCTTTTCTTTAGTAATCCTATTTGAATCCTCCCTGATCTGTTGCCCAATATTCTGAGGTACAATAGAGGGAATGCGTGCGCACAAACACACACACACACACACACACACACACACACACACACACACCCTTTGGAAGGCCTCCCACTGTCACCGTGATGTCGGTGTCTAATGTTAACAGTGACGTCTGTCTCAGAGCTTTTAAAATTATTTCATTTTTAAAATGTTTTTCTAAATGCTCAACTCGTTGTGAACAATGGTTAAACTAAAACACAAATACACACAAAAAAAAACACAAATAAAAAACATGATGTGTGTGTGTGTGTGTATGGGGGAGTTACAAGCTCTTCAGAGAGAGAAAGTCAACAGTTGGTTTGTTTTTGCATAGATGACCCCTTGGTGACCTGTTTCCATGTCCCGCAACCTATAGACAGGCTAAAGACAATGAATGAGTTGTTGTTGGATTAAAATATCAAAAAAGTTGATCATTTTTACAGGATTATTCTTTACCGAAAAGTACTTTGTTCTTTTATTGATTTTCATGCATAATATTAGTTGTGATTACATGTTGTACATACATTTTCTTTTCACTCTTTATTTGTTGAATTGTGACCCTCGTGCAGTAGTTTTCAGAAAAGAAGGAAAAGTATCAAAACAACTTTATAATAGTTAATATTTATCTCTCCCCATGATTCCAGCATCTTGGAAAAAGAATAGTAATAATAATAATAATAGTAGTAGTTATATCTTTGATTTTTGGTGGAGGCAATATCTTTGTTTCATGTGTCCTCCTCACATCAAACAGCTTAGCTAGGTTCCTAATTCTGTGATTTATTACCTCCATTTTATAGATTTTGTTAATTGTGTCCTGCAGGTTGCAGGTTGCTTGGTTGTGGCGCCTCTGTTTTTTTCTTATTTGTTTATGTGCAGCTACTGTTTAAATTCTAGAAAGGGTATTTTATGTTTTAATTTCAATTTCCATGAAATTCAATGATCATTTGTGAGCATTTATACCAATCTAGTAACAGCTGTATATTAACTATATTAACAGCATATGTCTTTGTACCAATGCTTATTAAAAACAAAGCTAGCTGTACTTACACACATATATGTAGAATTGAGTGTGTAAAACACACAGTACACCGTATTCTTTGATAACGCTTTACACATTGGTATTAATTAAAGCTGCATTACAAGCTCTGAAAACGTATTGTTGTTTTCCTCATGTGTAGTCCACAGGCAATCCATCAAAAAGGGTTGTTCCTGACAGGCCAGTGCCAGGAATACCTGCAGAGAGCGAAGATGATTCTCCAGAGTGTAAGTGCAGCACACACGTTACAATCAACACCATTCATCTCGAGTGAAGTGAAGCATAGTTTTGCAAAAGGCCGGTGTCTGTACTGTGTGATTTTTATAGGGGGGTCCAGCTGGAGAGGCAGACAAACTGTTGAACATGGCTGCAGAAAGCATGGAGCAGATGATGCTCTGTGGCAGAGAGCTGCAGCAAATGCGTATTCCCAATGACATCTTCAGAAGGTGAGGCGAGATGCACTGTGTGTTTGTTTACCTTTGCAAATTGCAGTGTGAGTTTGTTTGGCCGCCTTTGTGTGTTTGCATTTGCATGTCTACTCATGACCACGTATGTATACTGCACAAACGTGCTAGAGTTTGAATTTCCTTTTGTAGTTGAATCAAACCATGTAAAGACAAAGTCATTCTGAGGAGTTTTATGCTCGCTGAACATTCCTCTCAGCTCTACTTGCCCAGCTGAGCTCTTTGATGTGGTGCTGTCAGTGGGCCCTCGGAAGATTCACAAAGTGTTTTCCCTCTTTTCTGCAACTCTACAGCGTCGACCAGTTCCAGCACATGCATGCTGCGCTCCAACAGCAACTAGTCGGTAGTATGACCATAAGACGGAACAGAGGCAGCGTGGGTTCCCTTGAAGGGGGGAGGATCTATAATGACGCCATGGCCTGGATCGCTCAACAGAAGGTGAGCTCTGCATACGTCAGAGACATTAAGAACATGATAAAAGAAAATATATAAATATGGGTGATGAGGTTGAAATCAATATTATAACAATAATTTGGATTTCACAATAAATTCACAATAAAGTGATTTTAGGCTATACGAAATATATTAAATTGCACAATATAATAAATACATGTAGAATCACATATGAAATAATCAAATGTATGAGTAATTTGCTTCACTTTCATGGACAAAAGTCTTCACACACGTGAAATGAAAAACTTTGATCAAACGTTATCTTTTTAACTTACATTTCACTTGTAACTACTATTTAAACATTCTGTTACGGCATCGCCCACAAAACGTCTTGGAAAAACTCAGTGCCCAGTAGTTGTCCAACCTGTTTAAGCAGTACGAATAGTTGCACCTGCGTATCTGTGCTTGCATGTATGCCTGGGCGGGTTAGTGTGCTTTTTTAAAAAAACATCTTCTGTCTCAGTCTTTGTTCTTTCGGTATTGAGTTGTTTTTTTAAGGGAAACGGATGACCTATACTGCTGCCATGTGTACCTAGCTGCTCTATTTACTGCCGGACGTTGCTTTTAGCCATTGTACCTACAGTCCAACATAAAACTTTTACTAAAGACAGTCTCTAAACAGCTTCAGCCAAGTCTGTCATGAAGGAAAAGGGAGTGGTGAGAGAACAAAAGCCTTGAGAGAGAGAGAATGTGAGTAGAGAGAAGTGACTGGCTGAGGTCGGTTTGCTGGCAGAGCACTTATCAAAGCTCAGGGCTGTGAACAAGGGGGGGAATAGTTGAGATAGTTTCCTGCTTAACGACGGACTTAATGATTATATGCTGACACCTAGAGGACAAACGGGGGAATTGATAGTGTATCTGTTGAGAGTTAAAATAATGTTGCCTTAAATAACAAGGAGGGAACGCTGATTCTTTATTGCTTTTAAATCGAGCTTAGTCCTCTGTGCCCCCAGCTTCACTTAAAACTCCATCAGTGAGCCACATCGATGTGGTGGGATAGTATATTTTGAGTTAATTCCTCATTCCCTGCTGTCGAAATATTCAATACGGCACCAAATGTCTATTATTTCGCAGCTGAAAATAGTCCCCAACAAATAAATGATTTACTCCTGTTTGAGTTACATTTGCTGAAACAACAGTGCCCAGGTACTTAAGGAAATGACTGAGTGCTTAAAAATGAAACAATGTATTTGTGAACTATTTTGAAAGGAGGAATGAACAGGCATAAGTTACAGCGCCTCAGACACGTTAGGGAGGTTAGAGACCATTGAGAGACAGATTATGTATTGTTTGTTGAATATAAAACAAGTAATAATGCCAGCCTTATTATTTTAAATCTGTATACATACATTATATGTTATTTCATGAAACACTATACAGTAATGTTCCACTAAGCATGTTATTTTGCCTCAACTGAGGTGGATTTTGACATTGTAATTGTGTTTAGCGCTTATTGCATTTTAAAGGGTAATAAACTGCGATTTTGCATCTTGCAGCGCATGATTGAGACGGCTGCATGGGGAGATGACTCTGAAGCTATAGAAAAGCAAATCCTAAACCACAACAAAAACCACAGCTCGGTCCAGAGGAGCCAGGAAGTAGACCGTGCCAGAGATGAACTGGTGAGTGGTCATCCTGTTTTATTTTTTTTACTTTGGACTGCTTTCTTCATACGTCTTGTTTGCATGATGTGCACAGAAGCGTTGTAATCTTATGTAAAAACGAGCAAAAAAACTAAAGCTCTGCTTTTTTTTTCAGAACATGAGGGGCGACAAGTACAACCTGTCCATGCTGGAACAAGAATGGAAAAGCCTGCAGGTAGAAACGAACCCTTTTATAAAAAAATGTTTAGTTTTTTTTTACTTTGTCAATATCTGCTCTACTGTTACTTTCTATCATAACTATACATTTCCTTGTGTCTGTCTCAGACAATGTCAGACAGCCGTGTGCACCAGCTGCGTGCGCTCCAGGGCATCATCAACGAGATCTCCCGAGCCATCATGTGGGTGAATGAGAAAGAGGAGGAAGAGCTCATGTTCGACTGGGGAGACAAGAACATCGACCAGTACATCCCCAGGAAGCAGGAGAGCTACTCAGTAAGGACCTCCTCTTTTCTGCTGGGTGGATGTTTTCTGTCTTAGTTTATGGGCGTGATCATACCTTCAATATCTGATGTGTTTTATTTCCTATACCGATCAAATCTCAGTTAGAATTATGTTAGCGCTCAAGAGACAAAAGCTTCCCTTACGTTCCGTTCTCCTGACAGGGCCTGATGAGAGACCTGGAGGAGAAAGAGAAGGAGCTAAACAAGCTGAAGGTGAAGGCAGATGGACTCCTGAACAACAACCACCCCGCCTCTGATAAGATTGACGTAAGGTGTTTCTGGGTGTTCTTGTTAACCTAAACAGCCAGTTATTCATTTGGCTTTGCATTGACCACTCTGTGTGCGCCCACAGGCCTACATGGACACCTTACAGACCCAGTGGAGCTGGCTGCTCCAGATCACCAAGTGTATCGACATCCACCTGAAGGACAATGCGGCCTACAGCCAAGTAAGCGCTCGGCCCTGCGGTGAAAGTAGTGACCTGTATGTTTTGTCGCATGAACGCTGATCGAAGTCTTTTGCTGCCACTTTCAGTTTTTCAAGGAGGCCAACGAGACCTACGCGAAGCTGCAGAGAGAGCACGAGTCCATCCGAAACAAGTTCACGTGTGACAAGAACACCCCGCTGGATAACCTCACTGAACTCCTGAGAAACCTGGAGGTATCATCACGCTCATGCTCAAACAATTTGTTCTGTCGAGTGACAGGTTTAAATCATTTAAAAGTCTGGTGAACTGGTTCCGCCAGTTTTTTCTTTTTTTTAATTTTCTTTTCAAGCGACTAAGTGGAAGGCTTCTGAATGTCTGCATTCGTGTTGAATAGTTGCAGTGCATAGTGGCAGAGTTAAAAACACAGGTCTGATATCTGCATGTTCACAGAGAGAGAAGGAGCGTGTGATGGAGAATAAGAGGCAGGTCCAAAGTCTGGTCAACAAGTCTAAGACCATTGTCAGGCTGAAGCCTCGCAACCCCGAGGAGAAGAGCAGCAGCCCCGTCATGGTCCAGGCCATATGTGACTTTAAACAAGAACAGGTGGGGTGTATGCTCTCTCTCATACTCACACACATGAGCATGAGGTGGAATGTTACAAGTGTAACTCAGCGTCTCTTCTGCTTTGTGCTTCAGATAGGGATTCTAAAAGGGAATAAAGGCATCCTGAAGGATAACTCGCAGCGCAGCAAGTGGCTGGTGACGGGACCCGGAGGCATGGACATGTTGATTCCCTCTGTGTGTCTGAAGATCCCCCCCACCGAACCCGCTCAGCATCGGCCTCGCCAACAAGTAAGAACCGTTCAGTCAATGTAGACCGGTGTAGGTCTGCGGAAAATCCTTTTGGTGGGGGCGGTTCAAAATGTGTCAGCTCCAGGGGATTCATCATGTAATGAATATATTGGATACATCACATTTACAAGCCTCCAGTCCTTTACTGCGTAACTGTTTCAAAGACCTTAAGCAGTCAGAAAATAAGCTGATACCAAAAAGGAGCAAGTAATCATTCAGTTAAAATGAAAACGTGGGAAACATTTTGATAAATATTACATCATGTTTATCATGTAGTGTCTGCATATTCATGGCTTGTGCTGTCCCTAGGAATGAGCAGTATTATGAAGCCATCATGAGCATCTGGAATCAGCTCTACATCAACATCAAGAGCCTCATCTCGTGGCAATACTGCCTCAAAGACATGAATTACATCAGCTCCCTCACTGTCAGCATGGTAAGATATCGCAAAGACTGCAACAAACGTAGCCAATTCTGAGTTTTGCTGTTACAATAACTCACTGTTTTCAAAACCAAGCAAAGTCGAATTCGATTTTATTTCCGGCTTAACTCGAAACTCTGTATTTGCTTACCTCCTGTGACTCGTGCTTAACCCGACTCCTCTCCATTGTCTCTCAGCTGTCTAAGATGCGTCCCGATGAGTACCGCAGTATCATCAAAAGACTGGAGACTCACTACCAAGAGTTCCTGCGTACCAGCCAAGGTTCTGAAATGTTTGGGGAAGATGAGAAGAAAACTATCCAGGGCCACTTTGATGAAGCCCAGAACCACTACGATACCCTGATTATCCAGCTGCCTGCTTACAGTGAGTGTAAAATGTTTTTAACTAATCCTCCACTACATTTGCAAAACTACTGCTGTTTTTTCCCCCCACAATACATTAATGTTCTTCTAATGTTCCACCAGCCAATAAAGGGGATGAAGGGGTGAAGCCTGAACCCCCAAAACCGAAGCCTACGTCTTCCACGATCCACGAGACCATTGTCATCAAGGACACTTCCCAGCCTCCCCCAGCCAGCTCCACCCTCAGCCTTACCCTGCTCAGTAGTCTGCAAGAACTTCGACGCAGGCTGGAGCTGGCAGAGTCTGGCCTCACCAGTCATCTCCACGTTCCCCTGGGGGACAACAGTGTGCACGAGTGCTCGGTGCACATCCAGAAGCTGCAGGTGTGTAACTTTTCTTTCATTGTTCTATCCAAATAAAAGTGAGGTTCTTCTTGGCTACCTTTCAAAATGTGCAAAATATAGATAAGAAACAAGTGATGCTCGTTTCTTATCTAACTTGTTTTTTACACATTGGTATCCAGACTGCGCACCAAGACTTGGACTCCATTCATGATGAGTACCTGCGACTAAGAGAAAAGATTATAAAGCAGCTGGACGGGATACCTGCCGACTCCGAGCAAGCCAAGTTCCTCCGCTCTGAACTGGAAATCATCAACCAGAAACTGGGAGGCCTGCAGGGTCTCTACCCGGCCTACCATCAAAGGTGCATTATTGTAGTCTGATCGCATCACCTTTTTATCCATCCCACAATTATTTAGAAAATACTGCGCAAACAGAATTAAATGTAAATGTCAGCAATTGACAAGAAGGAGTGCATTTAATGTGATGGCTTTGTGTCGTTAACAGGCTGTCAGCTCTTCAGGCCTTGCTCCAGAGCCTTCTCCAGGCTGAAGATATCATTAAAGTCCATGAAGCCCGGCTGACAGAGAAGGAGACCACCTCTCTGGACCTTCGGGAGGTGGAAAACTATCGGAGCACGTTAAAGGTTTGACACACTTTTTATATTTAGTTTGAACTGCAGTCTCTTGCGTTCCAGTTTAAGGACTTCAGGACAAATGGCATTAATTAGTAGCACTTACTGAATCCTCTTTGTCCTAAAAAGACCACACTTAGTAGTAAACCATCACCTACACAGAAGTTCATTCTTGCACTTGGAAACAGTGTTTGTGAAAAAAATAATAGTAACTCAAAGGTTTACTTATCAACTTCTTTTCCTGAGCTTTCAACCGCATCTCACAGTCTTTATGTCTCTTCAGTCCACAGCGACTGGAATGGGTTCTAATCCACACTCCTGTGTGCGACAACTTGTTATTACAAACTTAGGTTCCACACTTGGGTCACATGACAAAACCCAGTGGTGCGACTGTGACAAAGTACATTTACTCAAGTAAATTTGTGGTACTTGAGTATTTCCATTTAATGCTACTTGTGCTCCACTACAATTCAGTTAAAAATAAAATAAATAATAATAATCCAATATATTAAAGCATAACACTTACAAAGGCCATCTTTCTGCATTATGAGGACTTTTACTTTTGATACTTTCGGGACATTTTGCTGATAATCCTTTTACTTAATCTGGCACACTGCGCCTTTAAGTAACATTTCCAATGCAGGACATAAACTTCTAATGGAGTATTTTAATATTGGAGTATTGCTATTTTTTACTTCAGTAAAGGATCTGAATACTTCTTCCACCACTGACATAACCGTAGCCATTCTCTGACAAAAAAACAATCATATCATGTAGTTATTGTCACAGCGCCCACCTCTAGATGTAAATAAGGCTTAAATAGGATGCCTGGTTATAGTTGAAATGAAGAATTTGAATCTATTTTGTGATTGTCTATTAAAGCAAATGAAGAGTGATCTGGACCAAAAAAGAGACCTGCTGACTGCTATGGATTCTGACCTGGCTAAAGCAGTGCACTGGAATGGTCACATCTCAGAGTCCTTCCACAAGTGTGACGGGGACTTGTCCAAGTACTCAGACCTGGTGGGTCAGATGTCTGACCGCTGGCGCCGCATCCAAACCCAGATTGACAGCAGGTGGGATCATCTGTTCATGTGCACACATTCCTTCAATACCCGTGAACCGGTAACAACATTAAAAATATCCGTTCATCCCTTCCTCTTCCTCCCACTCTTTCCTCCACAGAATGTGGGACTTGGAGAAGCAGGAGAAAAAGCTGAATCATTATCAGCAGAGCAGCACTCTCCTGCAGCAGTGGATAGACAATGCCAGGAAGCGCCAGGACGCGCTCCAGACCGTCAAACTCAGCGACATTCAGACTCTAATGGACCACCTCAACCAGCAGAAGGCACGTCTCTCCTTGTTTACGTCAACAGATTGTAATCAATAACGGATTCGATTAGATTTTGAATTGGAAATATCCACCATTTATTCAAATTGAGACACTGAGCATTGGTTTAATCGGTGAATTTAATGGCCCTTTTTGCTGACTGCACAGGCGCTTCACACTGAAATTAAAAGAAAGCAGGAGAAAGTAGAGGTTATGCAGAAAAGCGCAGACACCTGCGCTGTCTCCATTAAGGTAGGTCGTCAATTCATGTGCATAAAACCATTTCACACGTGTCAACAAGCAGATGAGCCCAAGCATGTGTGGTGCAAAATAATGAAGTCCATGTTGTGTTGTGGGTTTTCAGGACTACGAGCTGCAGCTGGCTTCCTACAGCGCAGGCCTAGAAACTCTGCTTAATATTCCTATCAAGAGAACGATGCTGCAGTCGCCCGCTTCTGCGGTCAGACAAGAGGTATGAGGAGGGCCTCTCCATTAAGTCACACTAAACCAATTTGCTGTTAATTATTGGTACACCTTAGTTATTACTACTATTTACTTGTTTATCCATGCTGTGGGACTTATTAATTATTATCTTAAACAATGGTTACGTCCTTTGTATTATGAGCTTATGTGATACTACCAATTTAACGGTCAATCCCTTAAATGCATCTGTCTGTTAACGTTCTCATTGGCATGTAATTAACACGAGAATATTTGACATCGGTATTCATCCACTCATTTTAACTCCCTTCAGGCGGCTGACCTCCATTCTCAGTACATAGAGCTACTCACCCGCTCCAGTGACTACTACAGGTTCCTTGGGGAGCTGATGAAGAACATGGAAGAGCTGAAGGTAGGGATCACAGTTGTCAAGTATATTGTGTTGGTAAAATGAATAGTATGATAAAAAATAACATATAGGTTTCTTCAATAATATGAAAGTAGGTCACTGAGGCTCTTTCTGTTTTTGTCAATACTCTCTTCAGATCAGAAACACCAAGATCGAGATGTTGGAGGAGGAACTGAGGCGTCTGAAGGACAACGTCCAGGATCACAACCAGAAAAACAAGTCTCTGGAGGATGCTTTGGCCCGCTACAAGCTGGAGCTCAGTCAATCACAAAGGGAGCTTATTTCTTTTGAAGATGTTAAGAGAACCACGGCAATACAAGTTAACGCTACCAAGGACAGCCTGGCTAGCACACACAGCCAGCTTCAAAAGCTCAATGACCAGCTGACCCAAATTAAGTTCCAGCTGGATGAAGAAAAGAGGAAAAGAAGGTTGGCAGAGGAGCGCTACACCAACCAGCAAGAAGAGTATGAGGCAGCTGTTCGCCGCAGACAGAAAGAACTGGAAGAACTCAACTGGATCAAGATTGACCTGGAAAAGTCTGTGAAGGACAAGGAACGTGAACTGGAGAGGATGAAGATACTGCTAGATGAGGAAGCAGCACGTCGGCGAAATGCTGAATCAGATATCTCAAAGGTAAGAACACAGTGCACCCAGGAGATTAATCAACTTAAGCAGACATACGAGACGGAGATCCACGTCACCAAGACCACGATCCTGAAAACCTCACAACAGAAAGAAGAAGACACGGCAGAGCTGAGACTGCAAATTGACAGACTCACCTCTGAGAAGAGAGACCTCGAGGAGGAGCTAAGGAGACTGAGGCAGTCCATTGCTCACACAGAAGAGCAGAAAAGCAGAGCAAATGCTTTATCTTTCTAACCTCTAACATTGCACATTGTGGTACTGAACAATCATTTAATTAATGCATACCTATGAAAATAATAAATATAATGTACACATCTTTTTAGATATATACATTATAAATTGGTTCAGACAGTACATCTGATTGCCATTTCTAAACATTCAATTAGTGATTGGTGACATCACAATTTCAATGTTGAATTAGAATTGTGGGTCTTTGTGGGCAAAATCTGGTTTTATTGGCATTTCTTTGCTGGCATAATAATGTGTTTTCTTGTCTCTCCCCAGACATCCACGAGGATGAATGATTCCCAAAGCCAATACAGCGAGGTGATGCTGGAGAGGGACAGTTTGCTGTCCAAGCTGAAACTGCTGGAGCAGGACAAGACTCGTCAGCTGCGCATAGAGGAGGAGCTCACTCGCATCAAGCTCACTCTAGAGACCGAGCTCCGCAACAAACAGCGGCTGCAGGATGAAAAGAATGCCGTCCTCAAGGATTTCAACTATTTTAAGAGCCAGTATGAGCTGAGAGACAGCGACATCAAGAGGTTTGAATCGGAAAGAGACCAGGCTGATCGAGACAGGCTCTCCCTGAAGAACGAGATTGAGAGGCTCATGAGGGAGCTTAAGAGTGTCGAGGAGAGGTACAAGAGTCATTTGTCGATCTCTGAAAAGGAGGCTTCAGACCTGGCTCTCAAGAGAGATGCCCTGGAGAGAGAGATACAGAGGCTGCAGCAGAAAAACAACACTCTGACCCGGCACACTCAGATGGATGAAAAGGTCCCAACAATCAATCCAGAAAAGTCCATGACAGTGAAGGGTCTCCGTGAGGATGTCTCTCTGGCAGAGCTCATCAAATCTGGACTGCTGGATAAAACTGACTTGGCGAAGTACAACGAGGGAAAGCTCACCATCAGAGAAATTGAAGACAAGCTAAAGTCCTATCTCTATGGCTCTACCTGCATTGCGGGGGTCTATGATGAAGCCAATGACCGAATAATGCCCTTTTATCAGGCAATGAAGGAAGGCCTGCTCATGAGAGGAACCACCCTGGAGCTTCTTGAGGCCCAAGCTGCTTCTGGCTTCATTGTTGATCCAGTCAACAATGTGTTCTTGACAGTAGAGGAGGCCACAAAGAGAGGCCTGATAGGAAAAGAGTTTAAGAATAAGCTGATGTCAGCAGAGAGGGCCGTAACTGGATACAGAGACCCATCCACAGGAAAGACAATCTCCCTCTTCCAGGCTATTGAGAAAGATCTTATTGAGAAAGGTCATGGAATCCGTCTTCTGGAGGCCCAAATTGCCAGTGGTGGGATAATTGACCCCAAAGAGAGCCACCGTATTGATGTTGCTGTTGCCTATAAAAGGGGATATTTTGATGAGGAGATGAATGAGATTCTAACTTATGAAGGAGATGACACAAAAGGGTTCTTTGACCCTAATACTAAAGAGAACCTGACATATCTTCAACTTAAGGACAGGTGCATGAGAGATCCAAAGACAGACCTAATACTCCTGCCTCTAAAAGACAAGAAGAAGCTCCAGAAGTCACAGGAGAGCCGCAGCAATGTCCTTCGCAAGAGGCGAGTTGTGATCATTGACCCAGACACTGGGCTGGAGATGTCAGTGAGGGAGGCCTATCACCGGGAGATAATTGACTACAACACTTTCCTGGAGTTATCGGAGCAGGAGGGCGAGTGGGAGGAAATAACTATCACAGGGTCTGATGGCTCTGCACGTTTGGTGATAGTGGACAGGAAAACAGGAACCCAGTATGACATCCAGGACTGCATTAAACGCGGTGTCATTGACGACAAGGCTTTGGATCAGTATCGTGCCGGAACACTAACATTGACCCAGCTCGCTGACCAAATTACCAACTGAACCAGCAGCACGGCGATGACATGTTGATGACATGGTCACCTGCAGCAGTCCCACCCAGCTCGCGCCTTCTTCTCCTACCGTTCGTAAACGCTTCAACATTATTTCGATTACTGTTTCCCCCCCTGAGATGTTCGATGACCACAGCCCTGTGGCGGCTATATTTGACACAGAGACCTTGGAGAAAATCACTCTGTCTGAAGGGCTCCGAAGAGGCATCGTTGACACTATTACAGCACAGAGGCTACTGGAGGCCCAGACATGCACAGGTGGTATCATCAACCCTGCCACCGGTGAGAGACTGTCGCTGCAGGATGCTGTCCATCAGAGTATCATCGATGACAGCATGGGCGCTAAGCTGAAACCTGCCCAGAAAGCCTTTGTTGGTTTTGAGGATGTGAAGACTAAGAGAAAGATGTCCGTAGCAGAGGCAGTGAAGGAGACATGGTTGCCCTATGAAGCTGGCCAGAGATTTTTGGAGTTTCAGTACCTGACTGGAGGCCTGATTGAGCCTGGCACTGGACATCGTGTCACTATCGAAGAAGCTATCCGCAGAGGTTGGCTGGATGGTCAAGGGGCCCAGAAGCTTCAGAATACACGGAACCACCAGAAGAACTTGACCTGTCCCAAGACCAAACTGAAGATCTCCTACAAGGAGGCCATGGACAGCTGCATGGTGGAAGAAAGCAATGGTATGAAGATGTTGCAGGCCTCTTCAATGTCCTCCAAGGGAATCAGCAGCCCTTACAATGTCTCAAACCCGGGTTCTCGCTCTGGGTCCAGAGCCGGTTCCCTAGCCGGCTCCAGGAGTGGATCTCGTAGAGGCAGTGTGGATTATTCCTCAACTGTCAGCTATAACTTCTCCTCCAACACTACCAGCTACAGCTCCAACGATCACTTTTAATACACACCATAAAAAAAAGCTAGACAGCAGTTTGCTTTTCTGTTTGCTTTTCTAAATGTTAGCTTGAGTGCAGTTTTTGGTGTTTTAGTGTTTCAATATTCAACTTAATACAGACTATGATTAATACTTCTAACGCATATATGTTGAATGAATATATTTTTCATAGCTCATTTTAATATAGGGATTTTTGGGGCAATTTAACAATTTCTTATTAGAAAATATGCTTGTTCACCTCTGTTTCAGCATGCAGTCAAAATTAAGTTTCCTATTGTTCATTCCTAATTTTTTTGCACCTTGATTTATGTTGTTTTTCATTCATGTTTTTGAAAAAAGTTGTTTTGTTAATTGCAAATGCTGAAGTTTAGCTTAAAATACTGACTTGACAATGTAATGATCAACAATGAAAATTCCTTGCCACTAAAATGTTATTCTCACGTGATTGAAAATAAAGTTGTCACCACAATTTTGATTCATTCATTTACTCGCTGGATGTCTGCATTAAAAGCTGAAAATGTTCACTGCATGAGGAGAGAGCAGTATCTATTGTTACCTGTGGATGGCGCCAATTGTCATGATAAAACTACAGTTGCAAGCCTGTAGCCCTCTAAGCACACCAGAGAGGTGGGAAACAAAATTGTATATTCTATGGTATAATACAAGCAGGACTGTAGTGTTGGAAATATTTATGGATGGAAATGTAATTTCAACAGCAATGCATGCTGTTATTTTTTAATCTAATAATCATGGTCTCACCTATATATATTAACAAACATTGGTATTAATAACCAATTAATTAGTCATTAAATAAAAAATGATCCAGCAAGTTTCTCCTGTGGTCTAATGGTAATTAAACTGCGTATATAATATAATAATTTAAACAATAATTTATTTATTTACGAAGTCATTCCTTGGATGGTGCATTCAGCCCAAACAGGTCAAACCAAATCCTTTATTTCTAACATGAATACGGAATGTACCACTTCTATTGATCACTGTGCCAATGACACACATGAATATAACAATTGGACATATTCACAGCACCTTTCTGCGCCGGTCTATTAGAGCTACCACCGGTATGTTCAACTTCTAGAATCATACTTACCGCTACACTAGCTGATTGAATGTCCTATAATCTTATTAAAAAAAAGCTCACTTCATTACAACCACTCCTGCTAACTTTACCTATGTCATCGTCCCTCTCCCCCCTGACATGTGATGGGTTTTGGGGGGGTCCAGTGGGAGGACGAGGGAGGAAGCCTCCGTCTGCGTGTGAGGAGTGAGGGTGTGAACAAATGGAGACAGGCAGAGGAGGAGGAGGCCCTAGAGAGGGGAGGTAGGTGGAAGGGGGAGGGAACAAGGGAGACAGGCCTAGCGGCGCAGTGGGAGGAGGACTATCCCATGCCAGGACTTGTGGCGGCTGCAGCGGCAGCACCGACTGGAGGAAGTGTGCTCGGGGAGGGGGGGCGCTGAGCTGAGCAGAGCAGAAGCAGAAGCAGTTCAGGAACCGAGCAAGGGCTTCAACTTTATCCCCGGCAGCCACAGCAGAAGGCCGAGGAGAGCAAATTCCAGGAGAGGAAAATGAGCCTCCCAGCCTGCACTAAGCCTGTATGACAGGCTGAGGGCTCTTTGATCAGGACTTTACCCGACTCGTCCTCTGTCTGCAGCTCCGACTGACAAAGGGGACACAGAGTAGAACCCCCCAAAAGAAGGGAAAGAAGAAGAATCAAAGTACTCGCCTTCAGTTTGAAAAGGTAAGGCACGGTGTCTGAACTTTTCCACGGTCAATCGTTTTGCACGGAGGGTTTCTTAAAGTCAGGCTGGTCAGTGCTTAAAAAAAAAAAGTAGGATTAGACTCCCACACACTGTAGTACTCTTTCCTCCCCCTTCTCTTTAGCCCTTTGCTCAGTCCCATTTCATTGAGTCTGCTCAGTTATTTAAAGTGCAAAACAGGGCACTGCTCTCTGTATTTACTTTGGCTCCTGCTAAAACCAGCGGTGTGTGTTGGTGCCCAAGCTCCTTCCTCCAGCACTCTGAAGACAGAGAAGGGACTCATTCAAACTGACCCAGCACTGATCTAGTGATTTTTCTTTTTTTGGGGGGGGGGGTCAATGTGAATGAGTATTATTTAGAGCCTTTGAATTAAACTCATTAAAAAGCTTGGCTTAAACTCTTAAGGTCTTTTTTAGCTTTTAAACGTCTTCCTCAATGAACTGTGTTTTGCAATGGCTATAATTTGGGGTTCCTTGCTGTTGTGGGCTCGGGTGCACTGGAGACCTTTTGTATAATGTGAAACACATGGGGTCATTCTTGTAGAAGACTTGCTCCCAGTAGTCTGATAGAGCTCCACCGAGAAGCCCTTTGGAGACTGTCTGGACTCCTCAGTCAGTGGATAAATGATGGAGACAGTCAGAGTATGGCTTCTTTTTTTTTTTTTTTTTTTCCTTTGAGCTACAGCTGCTGCGTGGTATTTGCGGCCCTAGGGCTATGCTTCTCAGGCAGCTATTGTTGATGACATGTACAAGCGTCCTTGCGTCACAACAGCTACAGCCCTCTTCACCTGAATATTGCGTCCCTCCCTTGCTTGGAAATCACACACACACACACACACACCTGCATTTACACCCTCTTGTGCGCCTCTCTTTCACGCAACATAAACCATGCAGGTTGTTCTGAACATTTTGCAGGCTAAACTCTTTCAAGATTAGCTTTAATTACAGGCCCGGCATGAGAGGAGAAACATTTTTCAACCGGTAATTACAGCTTTTGTTGGCAGTTCTATTTTGAGGTTGCTCCTATGAACAATATCTGGCCCCTCAAGGCAAAAGAAATGTGACAGAAACCCAAAGTGTCAGGTGGTGCTCGCAAAGTCCCGGGTTCGGGCCACAGATGAATTGGCATCCTGATGGTGTGGTTTGGACAGGTGGGGTTGGCGTGAGGGTTGGGGTTGTGTACTGTAAGCAGAACACCGTGATCTAACCCTGGGAGGAACAGCAGGGGACGGAGCACTGGGGCATTTCACTGTGTCGCAGCGGTGCCGCGGCCACTCGGCTGACATGTGTAAGCCATTAAACGGAGGGAAGGAGACCTGGAGAAGGAAGGAGAATGGAAGCAATAAAGGGGAAAAGAAAAGAGAGATGGAGGGAATGAGAGAGCGAGAGTGGGAACGTAATCCATTTTGGAACGCATTCCACTATGACCTTGGGATAGAAAACGGTAATTAGGGAGTACTTTAGGAGCCTTAAGGGTGCGCACTTTATGCCCGGGGGCTGTCATTTTTATTCCCTACAAAATATCTCATGAAAATGCGGGATAAATACACGTTAGAGTTCCAGGGTTGCTAAATAAACTTTCAAAAAATACCTAGCTCCCCATCTCCATTTTCAATAGTTCTCATGGTTTTGTTTATGTCAGTTCTTTTTATTTATTTATTTTATTTAACCTTTATTTAACCAGGTGAGTCCCATTGAGATTAAAAATCTATTTTTCAAGGGAGACCTGGCCAAGACAGACAGCAACACAAGAAACACTCCAGCAGTGAATAAGTGTCGGAGCCACAGCGTAAACATTTAGAGCCCCTAACAAACTGTGGCCTTGTTCCTCTCTGGGGGCCCTTCAACCAGCCTGTAGTGTCACTGTGGGCATGTTATCCCGCAGTATGAGGCGCGTGCTCGTGCCAAGTATGAATACAAGGCGGTTTGGAACAGTGAAGCTGATGGTATCAAGGTTAGGGGGCTATTAGATGTGAATGCTAAATACCAACTGGGGGCTACAGCCAGAGGATAATGGGTACAACTCCTGTCATCTGATGGAGTGGTAAACAGGCGTGAATAGTTCTTTACATGTGCTGGGCAATCGATCAAAGAAAGAAAGAAAGTTAATGTAACAAATTTAGTAAAAATGTACAAAAAAATCCATCAGGAAATCCCCCTGCAGGGCCCCAGACTTCCTGAAGCATTTATTGCACTTTAGGTGTTACTCAGGTTTGCAAATAGCTTCGGAGATCATTAATCTGTCCAGAGTCTCCCAAAGAGTCCACATTGCACTGTAAGTGTAGCTGTTTTTTTCCGATTGGTGCAAAACGGAGCCAGCTCCTACATGCTGGGTTTGATGAGCTTTATTACCGGGACTTGGATTTGAGTGCAGCACTGCAGTCTGAACCAGAGAAAGTTTGTGCTGAGTCTGGGTTTGGGTTCTTCTTTTTATTCTCCTGTTATTGAGGAACACCAGTGCACCTATTTTTTATTTTTTCGATCTCGGACGCATAATTTCAGTTTAATGGACTGAATTGACACAAAATGGAGGCCATTGCCACACCATGTCAATCATAAACTATAAGCTGGAGCCGACAGAAGCAACTCAGTCTGATTTTGGAGTGTGAATGGGGGGAAGGGAGGCCATGATTGCTTTCATATGTGCGCAGGCGTAATGTTTGTGGACAATTTAGTTTTCTTTAAATGACTAAAAAACACTTGGCATATGTTTCTAATTTGCGACCATTTAAATGTGGATTAGTCGATTTAGGTAGATTTAAGTGTGGTAAAACTAGACTGAAGTTGGGCCTCTGCAGCTTCTATAATATTGGGGTTGAATGCACTCCTGCTTCTTGTGATGAGGATTTTTATATTTAACATAGAATCAAAAAAGAGTGATACATAGATTGATTGCAAAAAATAAAAGTTGCTCAGCATGAAACTTCCCCAGCTGAGTGCTTACATTTGGACACTTGTTTTTTTATATTACAAGTTTTCTGAAAGTGTTATGTTTAGATATGCAATTGATACATAATGTCTTAATCTTAAATATGTGCTAATTTGCATAAATTGGATAAAGCCAATGTTGACATATGAGTCAGAGCTATTCAGAGTTTAGTGTGTGTAAGTGCTTCTCAAGTGGACATTTTTGGCCCAGAGTATGAGAAAAAACTGAATTTGAGAAAGCAACCTTAAAAGATATGTATTGTTAAATTATATACATTTTAGGGAAAACAAGTTCAAGTAATAAATATCACCATGAAACTCCCACAGTTGATTCCTTACATTAAGACAATATTCTTTTTTGTAATACAAGTTTTCTGAAAGTTTAGGTTTAAATATGCAAATGAGAAGTTCCTGGTGGTCGCTGATGAGGTGTATGTACTACTAGGTAGATGGGTGGGTCACAGATGAGATGGTAGGTATACTCTCCTATATTCCAGTGGCTTTAGGTTTAGGTGGGTACAATGTACATCGCCTGAAAAATAGTTTTGTCCACCTCGTATACCTGCGTATACCCTTCAAGACAACACTGCAAAAGAGGCAGCATCTCTGGTTTGTACAAATATGTAAAAGCAATCTGTACACTGATGGCTGCACTGAAATCGCTAATGGAAAATGCAGTTGGGGAGCATGTAGACATGTAGCAACCAGCCTAATCGCATACAAACATACTTTTGAGTAAATGGATCGGTTGCTGTGGCTCAAACCCCAGGCTCGGGAGAGTCTTTATTATTTGTGTTGAGACGAGCAACGTTTTTGCCAACTGTTGTCACCACAGTTGACTCAAAAATGAAAACAACTATGAGATCACTGTTCACATGACGAGGCCGTGAATTAACCCACAAGGTCTGACTAAGTGATGTCTGGATGATTTTGAGACAGTTCATGATGCTGTCTTCTTTCATCCCGTGGTTCACCTGCTCCCACAAAATGGAGGATTCCATACGGTGCGGGCCAGGTGGGGTGTGGCTCCTGAAATAGAAACGGGCTTCGTCCCAGCACTTTGATATGCCTCTCCATTCCATCTTCCCTGCATTTCTTTCACGCATCAATGGAATGTTTGATTAATTTATTTTCAGCGTTTTTGAGCCTGTCCCAAGTGATGGTTATGCATGTGTGAATGTGGCTGACAGCACCCACGCAGTCTAGTCAAGCTCTTACCTGCAGGGGTTGGAGCTGGGGGTGCCAGACACACCCTAATCCCCCAACATCCTGACCTCGGTAAACCTGTCGCTGCTTGTTCACGGTAGACCTCGCAACCCGTTTACTCGAATCTCTCTGCCTACCCGGCTCCTCTGTCAGCCTTGCTCTCCCAGTGTCATGGGTGGGCTCTGGGTTTTGAGTTCCTTGGTACTGCTTATTCTGCCTTTGTGAGCTAATGCTGCGCCTCAAACCAGGAACAAAAGCAGTCGGTGCAAATTAAAGACCAATTATCTTTAGTGCGTGCTGGGGCAAGTCGCTCATGTTCGCTTGAATGATGAGTGGGAGAAGTGAGAGGTCTAGTAGTAGGAGGATGTTGGTTACTGCAACATTGCGCGTTTCATGAGAAATTAATCATTCAAAGTCGATATTTAGAAAATTTTGAATTATTTTATAATGTGATTTTACTATTTATGTATTTAATTTAATTTGGTTGAAACCTTGATTTCTCTTAGTTCAGTTGCCCTGAAATTAGTAATGTAATCAGTTATTTAATAGTTTTTAAGCATGTAAAAATGAAGCTAACTTTTCTGCTAGTAGCTGGTTAGCTTGGTTTAGCATGAAGACTGGAAACAGGGAAACGGCTAGCCTGGCTCTATCCGTACTCAGTCATAAAGTTTGCCAACAGCACATCCACAAACAAAAGTGTGAAAAAAAAAAAACATGTTGTGGTTATGGAACTTACTATTTCTTAGCGTAAGTAGGAAGCTAAGAGCCCGGCACATGACCCTCTGTGTCATTTTTCACACTTTGTTTTTTGTTTAAACTTGTGAGATACATGATGCTGTGTGTTTCTCGGCAATTTAGTTTTACCTCATATGGACAGAGCCAAGCTAGCTGTGTCCCTGCTTCCAGTCTTTATGCTAAACAAAGCTAACCAGCTACTAGCAGCAATGTTAGGTTGATTTTTACCGTAGAGACGTGAGAGTGGTATCAATCTTTTCACGTAACTCTCGGCAAGAAAGCATATTTTCCCATAATGTCAAACTTTAAATACTTTAAAACGGATCTTAAAACACCAAATTAAGTAAGTAAGTAAAGTTTTTGTCAGCAAGTGCTTGTTAGATAGGGTACCTTCCCCATTTCCATTTGGTGCAGTACTTTGACACCTCCATGACAAAGCCTTCCTCCCAAGCCCGTGCCCTGGAGAGACACACAGAGCCGAAGTACTGGCCATCCTGTTCATTAATATCCCATTAGTCAACAGTTTTCCTGTTAGAGTCTAAGGGGAAATAGACTAACCCCGCCATTAGTTACAACAATCCCCGAGGACCGCTCCCACCACCTCCACCAACACACACGCACACACACACCCAGCCCTGTTTCCCCGAGTGATGACCTCTTCATACACATGGCCTCTTTCATTCCGCTCTGAGGGTTGGTTTAAGCCGTGGCTGCACTGTCCCTGGTTTATGGCTCCCGCTCTGGCCCCCTTCAAAGTGTTGGGATGTAGCCTGCAGTCATTGCAGACTTAATTGACGGACACATTCTTGACTGTGGGTCGTTCAATCACAACAAACAATTATTCAAGAAGGATGATGACATCTTTGGGAGCTTTGGCGGAAAGTGTTTGTTTGTGTGAAATCTGAAACATTTATCAAGCTCTTTTGATCAGTTATCTCGTACAAATGCTACACACAAATATAGATTCGTAGGTTTTTACAAGTCATCGACATTTGTTCTAATTATGGCTCTCTCAAAAGGTAGGATTTGGTTTGTTTTATTGACAATAATCTATTATATTTATAAAATACAATATTAAGTCCAGATAAAAAGAGAAAAGTAAAAGTTAAGTCAAAAATAAGTATATAAAATACCAAAAATAATAGAAAGAAAAATAGGAACTATACAAGAGCATTAAACTCAATACTACAAGGCAAGTACAAACACAGTACCCACAGGGATGTACTTCAACTAATGCAATACTGCTGCAAATGAAGTGACATAGTTGTGTGATTAGTAGCTACAAAGTATAGTCTATGTAATATTATACCATCCACTATGTACGATTACTTGTAAGATACTTGATCATATTTGTCTGTATGAATATAGAAGCGTGATACAGTACATAAAGTAATACAGTACAACATGGGACTATTCAATATACTATAGTGCAGTACTATAGCATGTAAAGTATTATATAGTATGATTATAGTATAATATATATATATATTATAATATATAATACATTTTATATCGCGTTTTGTCAGGGATTATAAAAATGATCGCTGAAAAAACAATTAGTTTGTTTGATCTATAGTTGAATCGAGGAATGGCGTCGGCACTAGTGACAGCCGCAGGCAACACTTTGCTATTCTTGGGCTGACAACCAGCACAGAGCACACAGAGATGACTAGATAAGAGACTAAGGGATGTATCTGTGGTTGTGGTGGGGTGAGACAGGCTCTCCCTCCGGACCACCAGTGCAGGAAGTGCCATGAGGTCACAGGGACACGCCATCACCCAGGGATTTACAGCAACTGGTTCTATCCGGAATTGTTTAAAAGTTTTTTTTCTGTCTTTGTCGATGTTGCTCCGACTGACTGGGAGGGGGGGAGGGCTACCACTGCACTGTATATCTTTTTGCAGTGGAGATAAGTGGCACTAATCTCTCACATGTTCAAAAAAGCTCTTGATTTATGTTGTTTTGTTTCAACCAGTAAAGTGATTGTGACTCATACTATTGACCGTTTCTGTGCAAACAGGACACCCTCTGTCATACAATCTGGAATTGAGGTCGATCTCTAAAGATTTCTGCGGACACAATGACTAAAGCGGAGGACTTTGACCGCCAAATATTGACTGGAGCAAAGTCACCTGCTTTAAGTGGGAACGGTGTGAGGTTATTGCAGGGCCTGAGTCACCCGTGTCTCTGCTTGGGTATTTTCAACAGGAAGTCCCGAGATTCAGCAATGGAGGAGGGATACGAACTCGACCTGACGTACATCACGGAGCGCATCATCGCCGTGTCCTTCCCCCGGGGGTGCACGGAAGAGATCTACTCCCACAACCTGAAGGATGTCACGCGAATGCTCAAGTCCAAGCATGCAGACAATTACCTGGTCAGTGCTCGCCCGCGTGCCGCTCGCTACCTCACCTTGAAGTGAGCCCAGGTGTCAAAGTGCAAACAGTATTGATTTTGGGGCCGATGGGCTCTCATGGGATATTGATGCGAGCGTATTGATCTCAGAGCGCATAGTGCATCTTTCACTCATGCTTATGTAGGCAGAATGCAGTGATCTAAGAGACAACATGATAAGTCACTGGCTGTGTTGTGTGTTCTCTTTAGATTATCAACCTGTCGGAGAAAAGACACGATCTCACTAAAATGAACCCGAAGGTGAGTTCACATTTACTGTGTCATCTGTAAAATACAGTTTATAATATCCTAGCAGGATGAGTATATCAATATCCATCAGCTTGGAAAAGAACCGGTACAATTCATTTCAATGGCAGAATAGCTCTCTGTTCATCCTCTTTGATC